AGGAAAAAGTTCGGGGGGGTCAGAATTCAGTCAAAACACCCTAGGGGTGTCTCAACAAAACCGAGACACCCTTGGGGTGTCTCGGTTTTGCCGAGACACCCCTAGGGGTGTCTTTGGCTCAACCGTGGTCCCCCCTTGGTTTTGTCCTTTTCTTTATTTTGTTTCCCCCTCTTTTGTTTTCTTTCTTGTTTAAATTTGTTTCCCCTTTTGTTTTCCCCCCTCTTTTCAAAAGAGAATTCATCTTCTTTTCCCTCTCAAACTCTTTCTTCTACCTCTCTCTCTTTTTTTTTTCAAGAGCTCCAAACCTCAAGAAAAGTTCGGATTTTTGTATGCTCCTCATTGGCCGAAATTGATCTCCTCCCACTAGGGTTTCTTCCTCCACCTTCAAGCTCAAGTCTTGGCCCTTGGAGTTGGGGTTCTCAAGCCTCTTGATTTGGGTAAGCTCCCCTTCACAATCCTCTCATTTTTTGATAAAGATTGCATCTTTACTCTTGTAGTAGGCAAAAGGGTCGTGTATGCACAATTCTTTGGGGGTTTTGTGCAAAAGAGGCAATATGACCAAATTTTGGGGGGGTTTTTTTGCAAAATGGGACTGAAATTCGTGGGGCATGGATTCATGTTTATTTGATCAAGAAAAGTGAAGGGTGCTTTATGCAAGAGTTGTTGAGGGGTTAATTTGCAAAACATCCCATAAATGTCTTAGAGGGGCTTATTTGCAAAAAGGCAGCGAATTTATGGCTGAAATCCAAGGAGTTTAGACTAAAAATTCATGATCAAAGTTTTGATAAGGGTATGTGGACGTTAAATTGGGATTTGTGAAAGGGTCCATATGCAAAATTGGCTCAATTCTACAAAAGGGCTTATTTGTAAAATTAACCAAAATTGTGAGGTACCGGGGGGTGCTATATGGTCAGATATGATGACCATGACCCAACCCGGGCGTGTCCTTGACCCGAATTTTGGCCTTGAACACGAAGGGTATTTTGGGTATTTCACCAAAATTCACCGCGAAAAATGACAATCATTATTTCGCGTGCACGAAATTTGTAGGTTTAACTAGACTTCAATTATGAAATCCTATTTATGTATAGGATTTTAATTAAAGTTCTTAATTTTCCTTTTAAATTCCGTGTATTCATATTTTAGATTGTACTTGACTTGCTGCTTTTCGTTGCAGGTTTGCAATGTCTCTGCGCCGATCTCGACCTCGTAGGAGTCGTTCTCATTCACAGCATAGTGAGGAAGAGGTTCCCGCGACATCTTCCCCCGCGGCCTCATTCTTCGGGGGTGGGAATTTATATAAATCCTTTCTTGTACCCCTGATTGACCTCTTTGCGGGTCATGAAGGAAGAACCGACACCCTCCTTCGCGGGGGTTAAGGTTTCAGACTTGTCTTGCTTAGCCAATTCAAGTCTTCTGGTATATTGGGGCGATTTTGTGTCGTCCTACACCTTATAGTTCGGTGTATGTTACCACGTTATTCACGTGATGATGCATACCATTCTTCCAGTGTAGGTCACTCAAAATCGTCTCTCCAATTATTCCGTGGATGAGCTTATCATTCTTCTTATGAATTTTCTGACTCCACCCTTGTGTCTTATTGCAGTGGAGTTTCCCGCGGGTAGCCTTCCTCCTCACGCCAACACCGGTTGTAGTCGGGAGGTCTTCTCTTCAGTTTCCCTTAGGCAGGCTGTTAGCCCACTTCCTTGGTTCGATAGAGGTCGCTCAGACGAATCTTGCCGCTTGATACGGGAAGGAGGGCGCCATTGCTTGCGCCAGCTTATTACAAATGCCTCCTTCACCCCGGATTCTACCTCCACTCAGGCTTTAAAGAAGCCGAGCTTCTTGTTCGGGGATCATGTCGAGGATCCTGCTGCGCTGACCCTTGGCAAGGAGCACTGGCTGACTCTTGACGGGGGAGCTTGTTTGTACATCCCCTCGATTCCGCGCCAATATTCTTTCAGTCACTTGAAGGGGCAAGCCGTGGAGCGACAGATGTCTTGGCACCTTACTGATGATGCTGAGCGAGTTCAGTGTGGATATGCCACTCACCACAAGACTCCTGGCTCTAACGGGTATCATGACGTTCGTGGTCTTCGACCCGGGATTATGGGCCTTGACACTGCACCCCCAGGCGAGGTATCAGCAGCTGCTCCTACCGTGGGTAATCGTCTGGCTCTTCTGGGGAGAAGGTTACCTCCACCAGATTATAGATGCTATGGTTGGGCTTCCTCACTAGCCAAGGGGTGGTGGGCACGCATGACCAGTTTTGTCTTAGCGCGTTGGGAGAGGGAACTGAAGAGCAGTGGGTTGTATGCACCTATACGAGCCACCATGTACGGAATCCCAGTCAGCTGTCGCCATTTCTTGGCTTTGCTGGAGACCTACATGCCTGACAGCAACACCTTCCTGACCAGCGGTGGTGAGTTAGGGTTGGCCTTGCACGAGATGCATCATGTTTCTGGTCTTCCGATGGGGGATTGCCCGTATCAGGAGTATTTTCCCTCGAACCAGCAGTTGGAGTGTATGAAGAAAGATACTCCCGACATGTATGACACTCTCTGGGATCTTACCTGTCATTATCACACCTCCTTGGTTCAGACTTCTCCTCAAGCGAAGAGGAAGAGGCAGGTCAGCTTGAAGCAGTTTGCTTGCTATTTGTTCCAGAACTTGGAGGGTAACTCCGACGAGCCCGTTCATGCGTTAGATATATTGGTCCCTTCTGCGGTTAATGAGTTGCTGGAGAAGACTGAGGCTCAATCTTACACTATTGCCAGTGCTGAGGGAACTTTTCCCGCGGGGACCAAGTTTCGCTCTTTTCTCCGCCGCGCACAGAAGTCCATAGGGCCCCGGACTCTATTAGCAGGCTACCTTGCCCTTTGGTTGAAGAAGTGTGTTGTCCCGCACCAGCCTTCAGATGCTCTACCCATCGAGGTGCTCTTCCCTGCAGTTCAGCTAGCTTACGGGAGAGAGCTTTCCCTGCTCCCAGCGATGGTTGCTGGCATCCATTGCGGGCTTAGGTGTCTGGTTAGTGGCTTTACACAGAGGGGTTCTGAACCATCGACTGAGCTTACTAATCCGAAGGTCGAGCTTCCTTACGCTTATCTGATGGCGTGGCTCGTTCTTCACCGCCCCGACTTGATGTCGGCGCCCAGCGTGGTAGATGTCCCTGTTCCTTTCATGCAGCTGTTGGAGAAGTGTAGATGGATTGGGCCCAAATTCAGTGATGTTCAGCGAGAGCTTCGAGTCCGTAAAAGCTGGGAGTTCTTTAAGTGCTTTCCCCACTTTTCGGGTCGCTATGGTGACACACTGATTGATGAGGAGAAACCCAGAAGTGACCGGACCATTCTTGACGCTGGTTGCTTCCGGTGGTTAGTGAACATCCGCGTAGGGTATCTCGTCCTTCGGGTGAAGAATCAGTGCCACATAGAGCCTTATCTCCCTTGCCGCTTTGCTCGCCAATTCGGCTATGACCAACTGTATGTCGGGAATCCGAGCCGTAGCCTGCAGGTTGAGGGAGGATTGATTGATGGCGTACGAGCGTGGCTATGGACGATGGTGGGCTGCACTGGAGCCCGTTTTGCTCTTCCTTCGTATCGGCGTAAGCCACTGATCACTTTCCTCAGCTGCAAGTGGTTCCTTTCTGCATATGAGTCCATCAGCGTGAGGAGCCTCTCAGAGTTGCAGTCCGAGTACGCGGTCCGGGCTGCTATGATGGCTGGTCGCAGAGCTGAGCTTGCTCAGAAGCGGAGAAAAGGGCATGCCAAATCTCTTGTCTCAGACGAAGAAGGACTTCTCCCTACGGGTGACGATGACGAGACCTCCGAGGAAGAGTATGTGGATGCAGATACCGGCAGAGGGGATCTCGATACCGGTTTGTCCTGTCTCTTTTAATTTTCCTTTTTCATAAATGACAGCTCTTTTTCATTGAAATGGCTATTGTCACTTTAGGTAGGGCAGCCAATGATCATGAGCCACCAGCTCCTACACACGTTGAAACGTGTGATAGGCCTGCGCATGTTCGACCTGTTGGCCCTCGAAGGGTTGGTGCCCTGAAGAGGAAGAAGACCGCCCACAAGCCCCATGACGGTCAGCGTCCCTATGGAGTAGACCTAGGAAGCACCGCCGATGGAGGAGAAGGTAACATTTCATTGTTTTAAGGTGATTTACCTTTTGGGATTTGTAACCATGTTTTATGCTTCAGGGTTCTTCGAAGAGGGCGAAATCCCACCGGGTCCGGTGTCCCCTGGTGCTGATAACATGGATTGCCTTGTGCAACAAATGTGTGACGCTCTGCACGACGGGTCCTTGGGCATTGATCTGAACATCGACCTTGAGCAGATGAATAATGTTGAGCCCGCAGTCCCTTGTTCAGGTACGTCCACATTCAATGTCATTTTCCTCAAGCCTGGGGAAGGAAGACTTCTCGTTTTTGCTGAAAGTATTTTCTTGAGCTTTCCTCATCTTTCATCATTCAGGTTACCCTGCAGATGTTGCGATGGAGGGGCCAAGCTTCTCGAAGCCGGATGCCGGTTTATTAGCTGACATGTTGGCTGAGCAAACTTCCAGAGGGACCGAGAGACCATTCCTTGGGAATGATTCGTCTACCGGTACATATCTGATTCTCCTCCTCTTGCCCGATCTTTTATTTGACTAATGAATGATTGACTATCGCAGCGTCAACTATTGGAGTTAGCCCGGTATCTATCCCTGGCATATCCAGTTTGCCTCAGAATGACGGGCTTGCAGGTATGCATACGATTCAGGGATATTGTACTTTCCTATGTTCCTCTGGCTTTTGACTAATATATGAGTGCGATCATAGGACCAGCCACTAGGACTGATTCTCATATGACTCCTGGCATCCCTCAAATGCCTACGGGTGAAGGATCTACAGGTATGTAGATGACTGTACTATCCCAATCCTTCTTATTGGTCTAAATTTTCATTTTGACTAATAAGAGAGTGCCATCATAGGACCAGCCGCTTGGGCTGATACTCTTATGACTCTTGGCATCCCGGCTGTATCTGAGGACGGGGGGAATGCAGGTATGCATACGATTTTCTTGTCCCGATTCTCTTTACTTTTCCATTTGGTTAACGTAGGAGTGTCACTGTAGGACCGGGCGCTGGGCCGGATACCACTACAGTTCTCAGGACTGAAAGCCTTCATAGTAATGGTGCCTCCTCACCTTTGCCGAGTGGTATGGGCAATCCGCCTGCAGGTGCTGATATACCTTCTCCTGCTAATGTCTCAGAGCCCGTCGGACCTCAACCCGAAGGGACGTCCGTTGGCATCGGTATGCTCCGAACTTGCCTTTTGACTTTCCATATTCGATAGTTCACTGAGCTTCCAAGTTGTTGCTTGTAGGATCTCGCTCTTCTTTGCACGAGCGTGTCCGTAGCCTTTTGGCCGATACTGATCCTGACAGAGAGGCTTTCCGTACGGACCTCAGCTTCTTCACCGCCTGGTATAATGGCTTGATCGAGAAGCTTCTTCACCGAGGAGGCGGCTTCGATCAGTTCCGGCGTTCCTTCTCTCGCCACATGACGATGATGAGGGAAGAAGGATACCCGGAACTGGCTGATTCCTTCACTGCTGATTTCGCCGCCCTGGAGTCAGAGATACGAGAGTTGAAGGAACTGGAGGTTACCGGGACTTCTTCTTTCGTATCCTCTGAGTTAGAGCATAGGATGGAGCAGTGGCGTGAACTGAGATCTTCCGTCGGGCGTGAGCTTCAGTCACGCGAGAGCTCCCTTGCGCATCTAATGGCTAACATGGCGAGGATGGATAGGGAGAAAGCTGAGTTACTCCGTTCCTTGGACTCGAATCGCGAGGAAGCGACTAGGTTGAAGGAGGCCTTGAAGCGTGCCGAGGAATCCGCCGTTCTTATCGCAGATGACTTGATCGGACTAGAGCGTTCCCGTGACCGGGTACTCGAGGAGTTCGGATCCACTCAGGAGGGATTGATGAAGTTGAAGAGTGAAGCTGCGGAGATCTTGAGCTGTTCTGAGGAATCTGCCCGAGCAGATCTGCAGGCGGGACTTGAGCAGAGCTATACAGATAGACTTTTTAGCTTAAAGTCTCATATTCTTAGCCGTCAGTTGCCTTCGGGCTAATGAGCTCTTTGTTGTATGCTTTTGACTTGACCTATTAATAGAAACTCCGCATTTGCTTCTTTCTTTGTGATTTGTCTATATTTCTTCTGAATGACAAATTTTATGGGATTTTTGGCAAACCCCCAGCCATCAACGGGTTTGATATGCCTTTACCGATCACCGTTTGAATCGGGCTAGCATGTGGATTGTCTAGATCCGTTCCACATGTAACGTTGTGCTAAGAGAGTAAACTCTCTGAGGCTTTGTGCTATGATTTTGAATACATAGGCTTCGTCTTTCTTACGGGAATAGACTACCCGGCAACGCGTGTTAGGCATTGACTTTGGGGTTTTTGGCAAACCCCCAGCCTTCAACGGGTTTGATACGCCTTTACCGATTACCGTTCGAATCGGGCTAGCATGCGGATTGTTGAAATCCGTTCCGCATGTAACGTTATGCTAAAGGAATGAACTCCCTTAGACTTAATGCTACGACTTTGAATACGTAGACTTTGCCCTTGTTACGGGAATAGACTATCCGGCAACGCGTGTTAGGCGTTGACTTTGGGGTTTTTGGCAAACCCCCAGCCTTCAACGGGTTTGATACGCCTTTACCGATTACCGTTCGAATCGGGCTAGCATGCGGATTGTCGAAATCCGTTCCGCATGTAACGTTGTGCTAAAGGAATGAACTCCCTTAGACTTAATGCTACGACTTTGGATATGTAGACTTTGCCCTTGTCACGGGAATAGGCTACCCGGCAACACGTGTTAGGTGTTGACTTATCCCTACTTAGGATTCGGGATAAAATTCCCCACGCACCAAGTGCGCGGATTGGAAGTTGAAAGTTGTGTCAAATAGGAGAGGAAGAATTTTATATTCTGTCTCCCGCTGGAAAGGAAACTAGAGGTGGGATTCCCCACCCCCAGTATCTGGAAGGATGAACTGGGAATGGGATCTCCACTCCGAGCACCCGGAATGATGAACTGGGAGTGGGGTCGCCACTCCGAGCATCGGAAAGGTCCGAGGAGAGGAAGAATTTTATATTCTATCTCCCGGTGCTAAAGAGGAAGAATTTTATATTCTATCTTCAGCTGGAAAAGAAACTCGAGGTGGGATTCTCCACCCCCAGTATCTGGAAGGATGAACTGGGAATGGGATCTCCACTCCGAGCACCCGGAATGATGAACTGGGAGTGGGGTCGCCACTCCGAGCATCGGAAAGGTCCGAGGAGAGGAAGAATTTTATATTCTATCTCCCGGTGGAAAGGAAACTCGAGGTGGCACACCCCCAGAATCCGAAAGGCTCAAACGACCCTAACTGTCGTAAGGTTTGGTCATTTGACTCTGAAGAGGAAGAATTTTATATTCTATCTTCAGAACTGGAGAGGAAGAATTTTATATTCTATCTCCAGCAAAAGAGGGAAACTCGAGGTGGGATCTCCACCTCCAGAATCCGCAGGATGAAACTAGAAGTGGGATCTCCACTCCGAGAATCGGAAAGTTCAAACGACCCTAACTGTCGTAAGGTTTGGTCATTTGAACAAAAGATGACTCGGTCTTAGTCTCGACCAGGGTAAGTTGTGACTAAGCGAGGGTTCGAGATGACCCTAACTGTCGTAAGGTTTGGTCATTCGGGAGTTTGAAAGTGGACCTCTCGTTCATTGAAGGAATCGAGAGGGGACTTTGGCTTTGGTCCTAACTGTCGTAAGGTTTGACCAAGTGGGAAATTTGGAACGATCACAACTACGTGAAAGTTTGACCGCCCGATTTGTGGACCTCTCGTTCGTTGAAGGAATCGAGAGGGGACTTTGGCTTTGGTCCTAACTGTCGTAAGGTTTGACCAAGTGGGAAATTTGGAACGATCACAACTACGTGAAAGTTTGACCGCCCGATTTGTGGACCTCTCGTTCGTTGAAGGAATCGAGAGGGGACTTTGGCTTTGGTCCTAACTGTCGTAAGGTTTGACCAAGTGGGAAATTTGGAACGATCACAACTACGTGAAAGTTTGACCGCCCGATTTGTGGACCTCTCGTTCGTTGAAGGAATCGAGAGGGGACTTTGGCTTTGGTCCTAACTGTCGTAAGGTTTGACCAAGTGGGAAATTTGGAACGATCACAACTACGTGAAAGTTTGACCGCCCGATTTGTGGACCTCTCGTTCGTTGAAGGAATCGAGAGGGGACTTTGGCTTTGGTCCTAACTGTCGTAAGGTTTGACCAAGTGGGAAATTTGGAACGATCACAACTACGTGAAAGTTTGACCGCCCGATTTGTGGACCTCTCGTTCGTTGAAGGAATCGAGAGGGGACTTTGGCTTTGGTCCTAACTGTCGTAAGGTTTGACCAAGTGAGAAATTTGGAACGATCACAACTACGTGAAAGTTTGACCGCCCGATTTGTGGACCTCTCGTTCGTTGAAGGAATCGAGAGGGGACTTTGGCTTTGGTCCTAACTGTCGTAAGGTTTGACCAAGTGGGAATGTGTGGCGAAGACTATGAGTAATCGAACACCAATGAAAGTTTTGTGAGGGAAAATTAATCCCTCGAATGATTGGATCTCATCTGATGAGGGTTAGAGTCTGACAAACTAGAACATTCGGGGTTCGAATGTGGACTTCTTGTTCATCTCTCTTATACCGACCAGGTTATCCCTAAGAATACCCCAATGTGGTATTCTTCCGGGAACTTCCCGATACATCAGCTCCTTCTGAAAGGTGCTAAGGATAGTACCTCTTCAGGAATTTGCCATTTATTGGCATCATCAGCCGATCACCATCTTTGGTGACTAGGCGATAGGCGCCGTTTGAGTAGACTGTTTCTACTACGAACGGTCCTTCCCATTTGGGCTCGAACTTGCCCTTCTTCTTGGAGCTCAGGTTCATAGGATGTCTTTCAGTTAAGACCAAATCCCCTTCCTTAAAACTCCTTTGTCGAACCTTTTTGTCGAAGGCTCGAGAAATTCTGGCTTGGTAGAACTCGATATGCTGTTGAGCCTCCAGGCGCTTTTCATCGAGCATCTCGAGTTCTTCGAGGCGCTTTTGATGCTGTTCTTCGGTCGTCATTTGGGTTGTAAGGGCGATCCGAAGAGATGGAATTTGAACTTCCAAAGGGAGAACGGCTTCACATCCATATACTAATGAATACGGGGTTGCACCGGTTGGTGTACGTACCGTGGTACGATAGGCCCATAGTGCTGCACCGAGCTTGTCATCCCAATCTCGCTTGTTACTTTTCACAAGCTTTGACAAAAGTTTTATGATAGTCTTGTTGAAGGCTTCAGCTAATCCATTTGCTGTGGGATTATAAGCCGTTGATGAGATGTCCTGAATTTTGAATTTTTCGCAGAACCTTATGAAGGCGTTGCTGACAAACTGAGGACCATTGTCATGTATGATTCGTCTTGGAACACCATGCCTGTAAATGATGTGGTGCTTGATGAATCCAATGACGTTGCTCGTCTTAACTTCTCTGAGTGGAATTGCTTCAGCCCATTTGGAGAAGTAATCGGTAATCGCCAGGATGAACCGGTCGCCTTTGATCGAAGGGGGATTTATAGGACCAACAATGTCCATTCCCCAAGTCTCGAACGGCCAAGATGTTACCGAGGGATGCAGATGCTCCGGAGGTTGGTGCATATAATTCGCATGTACTTGACACGCATGACACTTCCGGGCATATGTGATTGCTTCGCTCATCATGTGAGGCCAGAAATATCCCATTCTTCTGATGCGATCATAAAGCTTGGGGCCAGGCTCGTGCGCGCCACACTCCCCTTCATGTGCCTCTCTAAGCACTTCTTGGGCTTCTTTGGTTGATAGGCAACGCAATATCAGCCCATCGTACCCCCTGCGGTATAGCGTTCGATTCTCTGTATTGTAGTAGAATCTGGGTGCTCTTCGCCGGATTGACTCTCTTTCCTTCACATCTTCTGGCAAGATTCCATGCAGGACGTAGTCAATGATGGGGAAACGCCAATCTCGTGGTTCGAACTCGATTTGAGTAGCGTGTACCTCTTGAACTTCTTCTTCCTCGGCATCTTCACTGTAAAGCGGCACTAGGAGTTGGTGAGTTCTTACCGTAACAAATTGCTCTGTTTCGGGAGGCTGCGCTAGTGACACGGCCAATGCGGCCAACGCATCTGCATAGGTATTCTGTAGCCGTGGAATATGTTCGATGAAGAATCCTTCAAATGATTCCGCTATCTCCACTGCCATCTTATGGTATGGAATGAGATCTTGGCTTCGAACTTCATATTCTCCTTGAACCTGCTTGACTATCAGTTGAGAATCGCCGAAGGCTTCGAGATACTCAACCCCCAGCTCCTTAGCGAAGTTGAGTCCGATAATCAATGCGTTATACTCTGCCACATTATTC